CTCCCGAGTGCTGGGATTAAAGGCGTGCGCCACCACCGCCCGGCACGTCTGGCTTTTTTTAAATAGCAGTGTTACAGTTTTATGGCAAGATGATAGGTAAGAGTCACATGACTGAGTGACTGCCTTTAAGTTACTTCAAGTCCGTGGGCATCAGTTTTCTCGACTTTTAAGGAGAGTGGTGGTACCCGCCTTTAGGGTTTTGTGTGACCCAGAGGGAGTGTTCCCTAGAGGTCACCCCCCCTTCCTTAGAGCTTTTCTGAATTGGTGGATTGAAGCTTGTGGATTGTCACAAATTTGAGACCAGATTGGATTCCAGTGTAAGGAAACTATCCCCCCCCCCCCAAAAGAAAAAAGAAGAGAGAGAGAGACCAGGGTCTGAGTTGCACCAGCCTGATACCACTTGTTCCCTGGGCATCCACTTCCCTGTTCCCTCAGTCACAGACATGTTCCTTGTCCCTTAGCCTCCTCGTTGGCGTCATCTGTGGCATTCGATACCCATTTTATAAGCTGGCCGCTTCCCTGTGGCCGCGTTCCACACTGGCGTCAACGTAGTGCCTGACAAAAGGTTTGTGTCCCCATCAGTGCCACCGTGAGCAGTGGCGTGGCTTCGGGGGACGAGGAGAACAGCCCGGAGTGAGTGCAGGAGGGTTCCTGTAGGTGGGAAGGGAGAAATGATACCTGTCGGAATGTGGGGCTCCAGCAGGGCACCTCCAGGGCAGGAGGAAGTAAGTGTGTGCCGCTCCGGAGCTCCCCAGAACCATCTCCCTGAGGTTCTGACCTCAGCCTGCCTTGAGTGCTTGGAAATCAAAGGGACTGTAAGGTTTGAATGACTGCTAGGTAATTAGTGTGTCCTCAGAAGCAAGGAGGTGCCATGGACTAGCTGGGAGAAGATCCCGGAATTCAGTGACCCCCTTTTGACATCTTCTCACTGTGCTTCTCTCTGACTGACCTGGGGAAGAACTAGCCGCACTGAACTTGATCTGCAGTGGCGGTGCCCCTGGGCCGAGGAAGGCCAGCTGTGTTGTTCGGGAGGCCCTGACTGCGGTATTTGTAGTGGACGTTGCCATGGGGATTCATACCAAGCACGGTGCAAGGTTATCTACAGAGACTTGGCAGCACTGGTGCCCGTAACATGGTGAGACCGGAGTTGCATTTGGCTGTTTCCCGCTTGGCGTCACCTGGAAGAGCTGTCTTCACTGGCAGGACAGAGGCGGAGATAAGGCTCCCTGTGGGACTTCTTCTTGAAGGAGAATGGAACTCCAGATGTGATGCACTTGGCTTTGCTATCTCGGGGTTGTATGACTGACTCTCACTAAGCAACTCACCGTGAGGACTGAAGGGCTCCAGCAGGCCTGACTGTAGCCAACATGTTGCCAACAGGTTTTTACCTTTCACTGTTCTCTCCCATTCCCTCCTCCTTGCTAAACCGTTAGATTACATTCTTTTTGTTTGTTTTTTCCAAGACAGGGTTTCTCTGTGTACCCCAGGCTGTCCACTCTGTAGCCCAGGCTGGCCTCGAACTCACAGAGATCCGCCTGCCTCTGCCTCCCGAGTGCTGGGATTAAAGGCTGCGCCGCCACCATTGCCCTGCTAGATGACATTCCTAAAGCCAGCCACCAAGGTCCATTCCCTTATTTGGCCACTTCCTCCTGAGGCTGACCACCAAGGTCCAGCTATCAAAGTTGAAGTCCAGCAATCTCTCTCTCTCTCTCTCTCTCTCTCTCTCTCTCTCTCTCTCTCACACACACACACACACACACACACACACACACATCAATTTGGCTCCCCTAATTAGCATGCCCATTTAACTTAACATACCCTAAATAGCTTAAACACCTCATCCTGACACGGGGGTTCCCCTTTTTCCTTTATAAACTGCCAAGTCTCCTCTATCCCTCCGGACAAATATCCCTTCCTCCCCTCCCTCACCCCTTCCCTCCCCTCTCCCTCATTCCTCTTCCCTTCTCCCTGGTCCTGTCTCCTGTCTTTGTCTCTTATTCCCTGCCCTTTGCCCCTCTGGGCAGATACCTCTCCTTTGTGCTGAGAACTTGGTCTTGGGTTGTCTTGTGCCGACTTGAAGGTCCTTTTGTGGCCAGTCTGGTCCCAAACTCACCTCCCTGCCTCTGCCTCCCGGGTGCCGGGATTAGAGGTGTGCACCACCGCCCTGCTGTTCCTTGCTTTCTTAGAACCTTGGGCGTTTCGTTTAGGTGTGTGCCTGTGGGGAGGTCAGAGGTCAGCTCGGGGTGGTGGTGGTGGTGGTGTTGGTTCTTTCTACCCATAGGTCCCAGCGATTGAAGTCACGTTGTTGTCTCGGTTACGTGCTCAGCCATCTGGCTGACCACCTAATTCTTTGAATTCAAAGCTTTTGTTATCTCCAAGGGTTAACGCATGGCCTCTTGAGACTGTGTTCATGTCCACAGCCCGGTGCCCAGCATGGTGGAGGGACACAGTGGGTGCCAGTTAATGTTTGCCTACAGACAGCTGTTCCATTCGTGTGGCCCTAGCTGAGTTCAAGGAGGTTTATTCATTTACTCAGCCTTTATGGGGAACCGGTTGTGTGCTCTGGGGATGTGAAACCAGTAAAGCCACAGCTTCTTTTTTCTTTTTTTCTTTTTTGTGGGGCTGGGGATAGGGCCCAGTGCCTCCCACCTTCGAGCCGGGTGCTCCCCCATCAGACTGGACCCTCAGCCCCGGATTTTCATCCTTTAGCATCATGCTGGTGTACATGGAGCTAAATCCACAAGAAGTGCTGGAATTTAACACGCCCTAGGCAGGGGAGACCCAGGAAGCCTTTGAGGCGTGGGGAAGGTCATCAGAGAGTGCTTCCTGGAGGAGGCGGCCTCACAGCTGTAGCAGAGGTTGAGGTAGAGCTAACCAGGTAATAAGGGAGTGGGCTCTGGGGCCTGTGGGGGGACCGCAGAACTAAGACTGAGGAGAGGCGTGCCCAGTGATAGACCAGCAGGGCCAGAGCGACCAGTGCGAGGCTGAGGGAGGCGGGCGGGCGGGCGGCACCAGATGGCCTCACAGGCCACCAGGGTAAGGAGCTTGGCCTGATCCTCTAGAGAGCCACTACAGGGTTTAAGCCAGGGAGTGTTGCGGTTGGCTGCCCTTGACATTTATGTAGATGATTCTGGTGTGCATGTGGGAGTGTGGGGGATGGACCAGAGGGGATAAGATTAGGAAGCATGGACATCAGTTAGGAGGCTGAAAGATGCAACTGAACCTTGAGCAGCCAGAACAGTGGACTTCAGGGCCAGAGACTGCACTCCCAGGGAGCTCGCTGGGTCTTGTTTTGCCGAGATGGAATAACAGTGAACTGTGTGTGTGTGTGTGTGTGTGTGTGTGTGTGTGTGTGTGTTCGTTCAGCAAGAAAATGGCAGGAAAAGAGATGGCATAAGTTATAGAAACCACGAAGATGGGAAAGTCAACCTTATGTGGATGTATTTGCTTTTTGGTGGTGGTAGGGAGGATGATAGCGTCTTGCTGTGTAGCCCAGGCTGGCCTCAAACTGGTGCCCTTCCTGCCTTCGTATCAGGAGTACTAGGACTACAGGTGTAGCTACCATGTGTGGTAGGAAGGGTAGGAGATTAAGGCAAGATTTGGGGCGCAAGAAAACTTTGGGGCGAGTTTCCCAAATACTAGCTTCCCCACTGTTAACATGGTGGTGGGTATCAACCGTAGTATCCTAAAACGGATGTCGTGGCGTCTGCCTGTTACCCCAGCTCAGGTAGGGGTATGAGTGAAGGCTAGACAGGGTGACATAGTTGAGACCTTTTACTTAACAAAAGAGAGGGGGCTGTTTTGTATAAAGGGGCTGTAGTTCAGATGGTGTGCATTTAATCCCAGCATCCGATACACAGAGTGTGGAGAGTCTGTGCGCTCCTAGCACTTGGGAGCTGGAGACAGGAGGAGCAGGCATTCAGGACCAAATCAGCTTTATAGGGAGATGGCTGCCAGCCTGGGAAAAGAAC